GGAACGATCGCGTGTTTTCACCAACTTCTGCGAGGCGCACCTCTGCACCAGCAAAACGCACCGAGACCGCAAGACCCTGTAATGAGGTAACGCGAGTACTCGCCGCGTTTTCTCGAGTCGATCGATCCGCCATCTTGAATATGTCGATTATTTATTTCCATCCATTTTATCTTCATTTAAATTGTCAGCTTGGAATGATTTTTTGTCATTTTAAGGATCTCAGGACGTCTTAAGAGGCACCCGCGGAGCGTCCTGGTTGTTCACCTCCTCGCCGTTCCCGTACTTGTCTGTACGTATATATTTATACACACACCTGTACATATATACTTGTACAAGTACGTACCTCGATGCCGAGCGTAAATCACGGAACAATTGTGCAAGACGGCACCTCTAGCGCGATATAAATCTCGGACGATCCCTCGGGACCCAATTCGCCGATTTCCCGGCCGCCATTTTCTCCGCCGCGGAGCTGTTCCTCGACCGACTCGTTTCCTTGCTCGATCCAATTTTTTTTTTTTTCTTCAACCGTGGACACGTCGATCGAAGGAAACCCGATAAGAAAATCGCCTTTACGAGGAGCTAGTCGGAGGGCTTCGATTCCGGTTTCGCGATCCGCGTCGTTCCTTGTAAACCTGACAAATTACGCCGCGTGCAGCTCCCGGACTAAATAAAACAGGAAGCGAGGCACACCTCCGCCTTTTTGTGCCAATCTCCTTTCCGGAAGCCCCCTTTGCCTTTTTCACGTACCGGTCGATCGAGAAATCGGGAGAGATCGGGAGAAATTCGACGCCGACCGTCTCCGACTTTCCTGCTCTAATGAGGGGTTGGTAAAAAGTTGTTGGAAAAATAATTATTTACCGTTTGTATCAGATTTTTCTCAGTCTCTTGGATTTCCCTTCCGCAAAGCAATGAGAGGTATTTTGCTTTCTATTTCATATTTTTAGATCGTATTTATTCGTTCGTATTATTTCATATTTTTAGACCGTGAAAAATTTGAATTTTTTCTACCGAGTATATTTTCACCCTCTCTCGTTTCCTTCTGCTTTATTTCACATTAAGGGGATTTCGCGTGCTAGCTTTCGGAGTTTAATTTTTCTTTTTTAATTCTTAAGGGGGTCGTAAAGTATCGGAAAAATCGAACGGGCGGATTATTTTCACGGTCGAGGAGACGCGAGAAAGCGAGGAACGCTCACGTTTCTCCGAGGCGGAAACGCGGAGGCGAGAAAGCGAGAAAGACGACTTTAACGACTCGGAGGGAGAAGAGCGGCCATTCGGTGACGGAAAAGCACGATAACGGGGGAACCGACACGGCAGGATCGCTTTACTGGCGCCTTTATATCGGCAGACACTAAAGAGGATCCCGACAAACCCAAGGTGTGCCATTTTCTCGAAATGGGCCCGATAAGCTAAAAAGACAACCGTAACGAATTCATTAAAATGGTAGCTGGAAAAATAAAAAAAGAAAAAGTGAGAAGGTTCAATTTGGGCCTTCCGTGAAGATCGGTTTGAAAGGGAGTGATTAGAAACGGAGCTGGAAGCGTAGAAAAGAGAAGGTCGAATCTGGGCCTTATGCCCAAAATTCCTGGAACAGGCCCCGTCCGATTCGTATCCCGAGGGGTCCAGGTTGATAGGGGATGATTAGAATCAGAGCTAGGAGAATAGGAACAAAGATTTTGATCTTCTTGGCAGTTTTGGGCCTCGGGCATAAATTCATGGAACGGGCCCCGGGGGGCTTATCGCGATTACATTGAAAGGGGAGTCGAAAAAAATACGAACTAGAAGAATAAAAATAGAAAGAAGACGAAATTAAATTCTGGGTCTTATACAATTTCTGGAAGGGGCCCCACGCTTCTTATCGGGGCCTTCGAGGGCGATTAGAACGCAATTCGAAAGCAAGGAAGCCAAGAGGATTATTGAAAGGGGAGTCGAAAAAAATACGAACTAGAAGAATAAAAAAAGAAAGAAGACAAAATTAAACTCTGGGTCTTATACAATTTCTGCAATGGGCCCCACGCTTCTTATCGGGGCCTTCGAAGAGGGCGATTAGAACGCGCTTCGAAAGCAAGGAAGCCAAGAGGATTATTGAAAGAGGAGTCGAAAAAAAAATACGAACTAGAAGAATAAAAAAAGAAAGAAGACGAAATTGAACTGTGGGTCTTATACAATTTCTGGAAGGGGCCCCACGCTTCTTATCGGGGCCTTCGAAGAGGGCGATTAGAACGCGCTTCGAAAGCAAGGAAGCCAAGAGGATTATTGAAAGAGTCGAAAAAAAAATATGAACTAGAGGAATAAAAAAAGAAAGAAAACAAAATTAAATTCTGGGTCTTATACAATTTCTGGAAGGGGCCCCACGCTTCTTATCGGGGGCCTTCGAGGGCGATTAGAACGCGCTTCGAAAGCAAGGAAGCCAAGAGGATTCCATCTCGAAGCCGTCGAATTTTGAAAGGGGAGAAATCGAACATTGAAAGGGGAGTGGAAAAAAAATACGAACTAGAAGAATAAAAAAAGAAAGAAGACAAAATTAAATTCTGGGTCTTGTACAATTTCTGGAAGGGGCCCCACGCTTCTTATCGGGGGCCTTCGATGGCGATTAAAACATGTTTCGAAAGCAAGGAAGCCAAGAGGATTCCATCTCGAAACCGTCGAAAGGAGCCGCCAGATCGCCTTAATTCGTTTGCGCCGGTCTCGACGGGCCCGATCGCCCGTGGGGCCCGAAAAGGAGAGCGATATGCAGATCGGGCCCGGCATAACCCGCCGTCACCGTCAAGACGCCGCGTAATCGACTCGAGGGATCCCGGGGCGCGGATCGGTATGATTGATAATTATCGCCTCGATAATGATAGCCCGATGGCGGGCCCGATGGGACCGGTACCGAGACTTAGGGCGACGCTCGGCGACCTTGCGCCATTATTCCCCTCGCCGGATGTATCGACCTCGGTTATCGTCGCAAAACGTTAAACGACCTCTACTTAAAAAAGAACGAGAACGACGCGCCCGTAGTTAGTCTCCGTGGATCCAAAATGGCGGCCGACGCCGAAGCGAGTGGCCTTGAAATATATTATTATTCTCTTGGGGTATCTCCATCGCGAAGTGCTCGCTATTATCGTTAAAAATCGTCTAATGACCTCTACTTAAAATAGAAAAAAGAACGACGTTATAGTTAGCCTTACCAGGATTCAAGATGGCGTCCGGCGCCCTCGCGAGGGGCTCTGGGATATTATATTTCTTTTTGGATATTCCGATCGGGCAATGGTTAATATTATCGTTAAAAATCTTTAAATGTTCCCTACTTAAAGTGGAGAAATGAACCTCCTTTTGAACTGAGAAATTAAGAGAAAACTGAGAATGCTGCGATGATCTGTGCTACCTCTACTTAAAATAGAAAAAAGAACGACGTTAGCCTTACCAGGATTCAAGATGGCGTCCGGCGCCGACGCGAGGGGCTGTGGGATATTATATTTCTTTTTGGATATTCCGATCGGGCAATGGTTATTATCGTTAAAAATCTTTAAATGTTCCCTACTTAAAGTAGAGAAATGAATCTCCGATTGAACCGAGAAATTAAGAGAAAACTGAGAATGCTGCGATGATCAGTTTCCGCAGTTATCGCTAATTTTTTTCCCCCTTTTTTCGATATTTCACCGGCGATGCGGACAACGGCGGGCCTTAAGGCCCAACCTGGGACTCCCGCGGGGCCCGTCGTTCGCGATCTTTATCCGGTTCGATGCCGGCTCGGCATCTCGGATGCAAATGTCAAGAGATGGCCCGAGAGATGGATCGTCACGCCGAGGAATGGCGGCTCTAGCCGGGCTCGTTTCGGATCGAAGATCGATCGACAATCGACCCATTGTCCCTCCCGAAAGAAATCCACTCCAAGATATGACTCCACGATCAATTATCGGGATATGTTTCTCTCTACCATTTAGAATTTTTCGAGATTCTTCCTTCCCCGGTGGCAGAAAAAAAGCGTCGCTCCTCCTTCGGACGAGAAAGCAAGGACCGACGTTCGCGGGCCTTATTAGGCGCCGTTTTTGATCCGCAAGAGCGAAATACCGAGGGGTCGTTTAACGCCGTTAAGGCCGCTCTAATGGCCGCGATGAGCTCCGCGATTTGATCGCCCTTTTTGTACCTCGTACGCTTTTCATTTCAATTACCTGATTTACCGCAAATGGCTCGTACCATGTAAACATATAAACGCGAAAGGAAAATATAAAATAAGTAAGGACCTTCTTGAGAGTCTAAATTGACGGTAAAATTTGATGCGAATCGGTGTATCCATTTCATAGGAAAGTTTCACAAACTTCGGTCGGAATTTTCGTCCCACCTTAACCTTTTGTACACGGAGCCCTTTCGACATAAGGGCGAAATTCATCAATGCGTGCTGGCAATATTGGACCAAACGTCCGGCACCTTTAGGCGCCTTTAGGAGCCAAAGTGTTGAGGCCACGTGCGAAAAGCTGGCACCCCCACCTTTAAAAAATTCAAATTTTTTAAAAATTAGCACATAGAGAGCAGAAAATGTTAAGACAAAGAAATTTGAATTTTGTAAAAGTGGGGGCGCCAGGTTTACGCATCTATTGAGGCCAGGGAGGAAATGTTAAGACAAAGAAATTTGAATTTTGTAAAAATGGGGGCGCCAGGTTTACGCATCTATTGAGGCCAGGGAGGAAATGTTAAGACAAAGAAATTTGAATTTTGTAAAAGTGGGGGCGCCAGGTTTACGCATCTATTGAGGCCAGGGAGGAAATGTTAAGACAAAGAAATTTGAATTTTGTAAAAGTGGGGGCGCCAGGTTTACGCATCTATTGAGGCCAGGAAGGAAATGTTAAGACAAAGAAATTTGAATTGGGGGCGCCAGGTTTACGCATCTATTGAGGCCAGGAAGGAAATGTTAAGACAAAGAAATTTGAATTTTGTAAAAGTGGGGGTGCTAGGTTTACGCATCTATTGAGGCCAGGGAGGAAATGAATCGCAGATACAAGGAGTTAAGGGGTACTCACAACGCTGTCTTGCCGACCCACATCCGCTCCGTGTCCGAGGAGGAGCTCGACCACCTCGAAGTGGCCCTCGGCAGCCGCCCTCTGCAACGCGGTGACACCCGACTGCAACACACAAACCGTTATTAACTTTTTACCAGTCTTCGCCATTACCTCTAAGGGGACCATCGCGGCTCGTTACCGGGACGGGCTCCACCCCGACGTCCACCCCGGGCTGGAAAAATCATTTTCTCCCCCGGGTAATAACGACTCCCGAAGTGGCTCCATTTTTTATAAACATAAATACCCTCTCCCGATCCCGAATATATTTTTTCGAACCAAGAGGGAGAGGTCTAACATTTTTTCTTCCTAGCGAGGACTCGCTTAAATGTCCCCAGGCCTTGAGGGTTGGGAAATAAAATTACGAGAAAATATAAAAAGGTCTGAGGAAAGGAAAAAAAATCGGACCGCTCGTAACGGCTGGTAACGAGCCGTTGTCTGGGAAGTGCCGGGTCATTTAAGCGGCTTGAAAGCTCGAGGAAAGTGGTCTTCGGGTTCGGCGGTCTCGAAGGAAGAGGTCGGAGACCGCGACCGCAACTTAACCGCGGTTTAATTAATAGTTATCCACTTATGAAGCATCTGCCCGAGTAATTGCGGGCTCGTAGAAAAAGCCACTCTCTCCCGAGAGGCGGACCATTCTCGGGGGACGACTCTCTCCAGAAAATTTAATAATTACCTCTTCGTTAAATTATCAAATAAAGGCGACTTAATTTTCTATCCTTTTTTTTCTGTCGTTCGAGGCACGCGGCAATTTTTTATCGCATCCTTCCACGGCGGGATAAAATCATCGTCTTCGGGGTAATGGATCAGGGGGTAATCGTATTACCCGAGTCCAGAGAAGGTTTTTCTGGAGCCATGATGATACGGTCGCATTCGTGGGGTCCATCTTCCTCTTCTACGTTCCCCAGGGTACAAGAAACGTGCGTACCCGCTCTTCGAGTTGAAGAATCGAGCAATAAAGTCGGGTCGGACTAAGTACTCGAGTCCTAACGATGAAACGAGTTACTCCGAAAATAATTCTCGCCCTTAGGAATTTTTTTTCCAAGACCAAGGATTAATCTGAGAATACCCGAAGAGGTCCTGACTCGCCACAAATAATCCGGGGGCATTTAAATGCCAGTAAACAAATTCTGGATTTTTTTCTCTTTTTTTTAAGGCCGAGAAAAATTATTCGGGAACCTCTTCGGAAGGCGGAGGATTATATTTAAGGTCGCAACGAGCCTTGGAGCTCGATGAGCGATGGTTCGCAAGGTCTCCTTCGGAGTCCTTCCGAAATGATTACTCTTCGTCTCCTTTCGGGCATCCCGCCACTCGGGAATGGAATCCTCGCCACGTTTTTGCTCCTCTTGGACTCGCATCCCGAGAAAACGGAATCGCTCGTTGCGGCTCTTCTGCTCGTTAGAGTTCCGCTTTTGGACATCCGAGTCCCCCTGATCCTGATTTCATCTCGAGTCAAAGGACTCGACACTTCGTCCGACACTCCTGAAGGATCCTTCGACTTGGAAGAATCGCCCAAGAGCTCTCAAGAAATTATTTCCAGACTATAAATTTTTCCATCTTGGGAATCAATTCTAAAATAAGGAATCCAGAACACGGATTCCAGGCTTATCATCGGGATTGGCCTGGAATTTATGCCTTATCAGGCACAGTCGGAATGTCGACTCGGAATCCTCGATTGCCTGGAAGCGAGGGGTCCTTTTTATTTCCTCTTTTTTTTTTTATTTCCCTTTATTTCCAGTTCCACCGGAGCGACTCTTCGGCATCGATTTCTCGGATCAACGGGATCGTTCGATCGAATCGAGACGGGCTCTCTTCCCGATCGAATCTAAAGGGTCATCGTTAACGGAGGCGATGCACTTCGATTTCTGCACTCTGCAGTCCTCTCCGAAGATTCGATCTCCTCGCAATGGACGTTCGATAGCGATACGCGATTTTTCCGAAGCGATCGTCGCCTCTGGAATTTCCCTGGATCGAAATATTGTAGAATTTCCGCCTCCTCTGGATTAATCGACCCGTTTTAATAGCTCGGCGAGGAGAGCTGGGATTAAATGACGCATCGGCCGCGCCTTCCCTATTTATTTTGCATAGAGAAAAGGCGAAAGCGATCGCGATTCCAGATCTATCCGGTGCATAACAATATTCCCCGTTAACGGTGGGACGTTAAACGCTTCGCCGATCTATCGATCGAGGTTGATCAGGGATCGAGGAACGAGGAGAAGCGCCGCATCCAGGGTCGACAGCCGAGCCAGAGGAGACAAAGTAAAGGCTCTTCTTCGCCGACCTTCGAAACATCCGATCGACTTCGTCGACCTTCCAACATTTAAATCAAACCTTCTGGATCGTCCCTAAATTTTTTCAAAGTTTTCCCTTATTTTCTACTATTTTTTTCAGAATTTTTCTGCGTGCGGGAAGATGTTCTCAAGAAATCAAGATGGCGGACGCTTCCTCCGATGATGATCCCCGCGACCGGACCTTCGAAACATCCGATCGACTTCGTCGACCTTCCAACATTTAAATCAAACCTTCTGGATCGTCCCTAAATTTTTTCAAAGTTTTCCCTTATTTTCTACTATTTTTTTCAGAATTTTTCTGCGTGCGGGAAGATGTTCTCAAGAAATCAAGATGGCGGACGCTTCCTCCGATGAAGATCCCCGCGACCGGGAAGAGATTTCCACGCGAGCGGCTTCCTCGCTACGATGCGGCGATACCGCATTTGGAGATTCGGCGTTACGAGGAAGAGGACAAAAACGTGGATCGCCTCTCGCGATACCTCTGCTCTGATTCCCGGCGAAAGCCGCCATTGTGTCCCGAGTGGCTTTACATCGTTTCGATTGTTTCGAGCAAACAAACGAGGCCCATTCCATTCGCTGACCCGCTTGGGGTTTTCGTTCCTGGTTCCTAGTTTCATTCCGCTCTCCCCCGGGAACCTTGCCATGATAAAATCGTCTTCGTTAGTAAAAATCCACTCGAAAAAAAGGAATCTTCCGGGGACAAAATGGGGACCTTTGGTGGCGTTTCCACGATTAAAAGGCCACGACACGACTCGCCATCTCGTTACCCTCTTCCTCGTGCTCATCAAGGATGTCAAGATACTACGGTCCGATAAGACTCTCTCTCTTTCTCTCTCTCACGGTTTACAACTCTCCGGCGACTCGCAAGACCGGAAACTCTCTTCCTCTTCCCTGGAAATTCCTGATAAAAAATTCCGCCGTCTCTAAACCAGACATTAGAGGAAGTTAATAAAAGTGATGGAGGGAAAGATCTGAAATTTCGACGGCCAAGGGCAATTGGAGCGTGCGTCGGGAGATTCCAGGGGTTATTAATTAACAGGTTGCATCGCGGATTCCAAGGGAAAGAGAAATCGAGGCTTCTTCCTTTTTATTCCTCCCGCTGAGCGAATCGCCATCCCGTCGCAGATGATTTCCCGGGATTGCCAGGATGTCCTCATCCTCGGAAATGTTTTTGGGAAAGGACGAGCACGCTTTGGGAGGACTCGAGCACGTCCGTGGATTTAATGTATTCGCTTTCTGTCCGCCGTCGAATCCGTGGTAGCATGCTAATTGCCCTAAGGACAATAGGGAGATCGCCTCGACTTGAGAACCTTTCATGGTCCGATACCATCTTCGACAAAAATCCCTCCTTGAGTATTTAAATATTAAAGACAATTGAAAATATTCATTTCAGATAGGTACATTTTTTTTTAGGGAATAATCTAACGGGTCAAGATTCGCCCCAATGCACCGTCCAAAGTCGCGGAATCTCCTCTGAGAATTTCTCGGTGCGTAAACGCACGCGGATCGTCCACGGGAGCGGTTACCCCGCCTGCCTTGAATTGCGCGCGAGCGCATAAAGCGAGAAAAGTCCAGAGGAGCTTTTTTACTCCCCGATGGCGATTACCCTCCCGAGCAACGCGAGTAATTGCGAGGCCACTGGGGGGAAAAATTCCCGAGGGAAAACTGCGGCCCCCGCGGTTCTTTGCGGGGTTGCGGCGAGTGCAGCAGCCAATGCAGCAAACGTTGCACCGAGAGGGACACGAGCGATATTCCCCTCCCGTCCCTGCAACTTTTCATTTCTCATCGGTTCCAAAAATCTCTGAAAAAGTAACGTTTCTTAATCCGATTTCACAATTTCGCATTTTCGCACTTTCGCATTTTCGCAATTTCGAAATTTCGCACTTTCGCATTTTCACATTTTCGAAATTTCGCACTTTCGCATTTTCACATTTTCGAAATTTCGCACTTTCGCATTTTCACATTTTCGAAATTTCACTCTTTCGCATTTTCGCAATTTCGAAATTTCGCACTTTCGCATTTTCACATTTTCACATTTTCGAAATTTCGCACTTTCGCACTTTCGCACTTTCGCACTTTCGCACTTTCGCATTTTCGCATTTTCGCAATTTCGAAATTTCGCACTTTCGCATTTTCTCAATTTCGTCATTTCGTCATTTCAGAATTTCGCAACTCTAACGAGGCTCGTCCTGGCGAGAACCGTTAAATCAAGGAAGGTCGGAATATTTTGTACCTCCACCCTCCAACCTCGAATTCACGAGCGGGTGAATTTATGGCGAAGCCAACACGGGCCTTGATTTATCTCGCGTGTTACCGGCCCAGGGCCTCCGTTCTTTGGGCCCGATGCGACCGCCATTTGTAAGGAAAAAACACGAGGAGATAGAGCCAGCCTCCCTGTTCCTTCTTTTCTCCCCAAGAGACGCGGGAATACTCGACGGTCGAAGTCGGATACCTCGAGTCCTTGATTCTGCAGAAAATCGGCCATTTCTATATTTCATTTCTTTTTCCCACGACGGATGACACGGAAAGCGATTACTAGTACTCGCGACTTCTAGTACTCGCGACTTCCCGCGTGGGATAGGTCAGGTCCGAGGTCGAGTGCGCGCGAGAAGGGACCTCCCGCCGGTCCAATCGTCGCCATTTCCTGGGAGTACGAGACTCCTGGGGGGAAAATGCCCCCAATAAAAATTGCGCAGGGAAGGCCGAGGCCCAACTTTTATTCGGGGTGATTTTTCGTATCTCGCTCAGGGGATATATAAATCGGCGATTGTCTCA